CTGTACGATTTCGTCAACTTAGTGAGTTTGATAGGGGCCGTATAGTGGGACTTCGGGAAGCTGGACTTTCTTTTCGGGCAGTTGCAGTTAGAGTGCAAAGAAGTGTAGACACTGTGGTTAGGTGTTGTCAGGCATGGCTTCGAGAAGGCCGTACGCAAAGAGCAAGGGGCACTGGACGCCGCCGTAGAACAACAGACCGTGAAGATCGCCGCCTAGGATTATTGGCCTTAAGGGACCGTTTCTCCACTACCAGGTCCATTGCAAATGAATGGTTTGCAGAACACAGAAGACCTATTGGCATGCGAAGTGTTTACCGACGAATGATAAGTTTTGGCTTGTTTTCATACTGGCCACACTGGGTCCTCCCTTTAACTCGAGTACACCGACGTAATCGCCTTGAGTGGTGCAGACAACGGTCACTCTGGGATCAGGAATGGAACAGTATTGTCTCTAGTAACGTGTCTCGATTTTGTTTAGGCATGCACGATGGTCGTGCCAGGGTTAGAAGGCGACGTGGTGAAAGGAGGAATCCACAGTTTTTTGTTGAAAGACATGTTCATCACACTGTTGGAGTTATGGTTTGGGGTGCTATAGCTTATGGTTCCAGGTCACCTTTAATCTTCATCACAGGTAACATGAACGCGCAGCGTTATATCCACGAAGTTCTAGAACCCCATCTTTTACCATATCTTGACACCCTGGCAGATCCAACTTTCCACACACTTTCAACATAATGATGTCACATTGTTACCATGGCCACCAAGATATCCCGACTTATCCCCAATTGAGCACGTGTGGGATATGATGGGTAGGAGATTGCTCAATTTGCAACGTCCTCCTCAGACTCTAGAAGCACTTCGAGAGGAGTTGGAGGTTGCCTGGAATGAGATACCACAGGAGGACATTGACCACCTGATCAGAAGCATGCCTAGGCGCGTTAGAGAATGCGTAGCACATCAGGGTGCATCCACACATTATTAAAGGTCAAAGGGCTTTAAAGCAGTGCAATCATTTTGAAATTTTTATCATCTACTTCTTATTGTTTATTCTAAACCATTTAAACTGGGTGTTCGGATTTATATGTCACTTAGTATATTTAAGCCGGTACGTGAAAATTGTTTTCGGAATTTTATCACGCAATTTTTCAAGAATTTTATTTCCAAACAGCGAACTGATTGATATACAGTTACGTCACTTCGCGAGGTAGAGACTACTAAAAAATGTGTGAAATTATGGCGTAACTCGATTTTATATTTTTGTCATTTACTCCTGTACATGCGGAGGCCGACGATGTATTCGAGAAAACCAAGTGAATATTTTCATCGCCTACTAATGAACAGTGCGGATAGTCTTACACGAGCCAAAGATCTATCAAGATAAATGGAGAGTCTTTTATTTCGCCGGTCGACAGTGACCTTAAGTTTCTCCATGAGAGTAGGGGGTTTGCTGTTTGGCACCAAAATACGTAAGATAGGCGATATAAGCACAACTTTGGACTATTATTGGTCTAAAAAAAGACGCGATCTACGAATCGAACGTTCTTGGTTCGGCGATTTGCTTATTAGATGACTCGATTCCTTGCCAAACGATGTTGCCAAACTGACAAAAAGTGCTTAGAAAATGATATATTCATAATGAACTGATGGTGTTCAGCACCCGTATTACGTAACTTGAGAAGCGACAATGTGTTTTTTTGACATTATGTGGGTTTTCCTATCAAATGTCACCTGCATGAACTAGCGGCACACTAGCGGCTGCCTGATGCACACATTGACATTTTGCACATTTTGTTTTTGCCATATAGAATATAATAATAGTCGTACTGTATTCAGAAGCAAACTAATTGGCGAAGTTTAGGATTCGCTAGTTTGACACTTAACCAGTCATTAAGCGATTGGTATAGATCTTTTTTACGGTTTCTGCTGGTAACGTCAAAAAGTCATACTAAATAAATTAATATAGCGTCTTAAAGTCAAGCTGTCTATATAGATAACTGGAATCTATGTCAAATACACCAGCGATTGATTAAATGAGCAATTTGAGATTGGAAAATAATTCCAAGCTGATATTCCTCTTTTGTTTCTTAACTAAACCATGTAATGTCCTGCGTAGGGTACTGAAAGTTAACTAGCTATGTGATAACTTACAATTTTCGACAATAGCTGCTGTTTACATGACGTAAAGAGCACTCGCGAAAATTGTGATTTAAAACTTGAATGAATCAAAATGTTTCGTCGGCTGCTAGCTGATGAAAAACATCCCCACCATGTCCAAACAAAAGTAGATTTGAATAAAAAATGCTTTAACTAGGAGTGATGGATGACAATTAATCTGAAAAAGATTATCTATATGGCAACAGGACATGTTTAAACGCCATCAGCTGTTTTGTGGGTGCCATGTTTTGGTTACATCTGTGACTTATTTATCCGCCTCGTCTAACTGTGTCCTCTTGGTATAATTGCTCTTCCCACGAGCCTCATCTTTTTATATACTATTATAGTCACGTAGGCAGAACCTAAGCCAAGGCACTTCAACTTCTATAAGGAGCTTAAAGACACTTTGTTCATCCGATTTTTGAACAACGCACTTAATCAACGTTAGTAGCTACATTTCGATGTATGACTGCACGAGTGCCATCTATTACTGCAGTAGTGAATAGCAGCAAACTGTTGGAACTGTAAGCCCGCTTTTATGCACGCGTTTTTTGACGCCTGTCGCGTGGCGACAAAAAACGCGGCGCTTATAGATGAAACAAAATGGAACTTTTGTCTAACGTTGTTTGTGGCGTGTCGCTTTCAGATAGATCAGTGGCCATCGTATCGTCTAAACAAGGAAGTGTGATGCATTGATAAATAATGGATCCGTGTGTTGTATACTTGGCATACAAATATATAATCAAAAAGAGACGCAAGAGACGTTGGAGCGTTCACCCAATAAATAGTGCAAGAAATCTCAGAGGCACATATTATACACTACACAAAGAACTAAGACGAGACAATGACAAATTCTTTAATTATTACCGTATGTCGAAAGCTTCCTTTGATGAGCTATGTGAAAAGTTAAAAAACACTTTCAATAAAGATAGGGAGCTGATTCAAGGATTTGCATTCGAAGCAGAAGAAATGTTATCAATGACGTTGAGGTAAGTTTATGAAAAAGTTGAAGAAATAAACCATTTATTCAGGAAATAAGAGTAAAACATCAAACACTATAACAAAACAGTTCATACATATTATTGATTTGATAACAGTGATATTAGTGATTCGGCTTGTGAAATTATTGAATTTTCCGATTCCGTCGGAGAAAATGGCGTTTGTGGTGACGTCACAGCAAGTGATTCAGTAGTATCAGTATTAGGATGAGGCAAATGAGGTGTGATCTCAGATGATACTGTAGAATATGATGCGAATGGAGGTGCTGGCTTATTAAAACGTATATTAGAGATGTTGGTCATTACTGGATATTGCTGTGGTTGGTAATGGGGTATATGATTTGAAAAATTGTGTATATACTGATTTGGTTGTTTGTTAGTATATCGGCTTAATAATTGCATGACCTCTATTCGAAAATTCAATTTCTCATTCGGAGTGAGCGTATCTAAACTTGCTTGTAATGATCTAAAAAAGGCCATGTCATCAGTTTCTTGTGGTTGACTTTGTATAGCTAATGCTGGCTGTCTGATATGGGAATCAATATAGCTTGAAAGTTTACTTTCTAAATCTGATTTCTTTCTTCTATAGAGAGTACTTCTACTAGGAGTTCGTCCAGTTTCCATTTTGCTGTCTAACTGAGTATATTGGACATCTGATGAAGTACTTTGCATGTCATTTATGTCCTTTGAAACATCCATATCTTCTTGGCCCTCTCTTGATGTACTTGGTAGTGAGCTCTCTGTCTGACGGGAACCAGTCACCTTTCGTAAAAATCCTAATTGTTTAGCATAGATGTACGTTTTTACAGCTTTAGCAGACGCTCCTGATTTTTTTCCCTTAGACAGTCGAATGGTACGAACATAAGCATCCCTCAGACTTTTCCATTCTCTACCTAAAAAGGAAAAACAGATAACATGTTAGATACCTAAATGTAATTTTTTTTTAAAAAAATGTGTTTCTCATACGAGCCTTGACATCTATGTATATGTCGTACATCCCAATAATATAAAGTAAAGGTTTTAGATGCACTACAAATAATGAGAGACCTAAAATTTGTTGACAATTATTCGTATTCTTTGCATTTAACTAAGCCGAAACCCCGAAACATAGGAGATTGGCCATGATATTACTATTATAAGTACCTAACTGTATCGTTATACTAAATGGCAGTTTTGTTTTACAGGTATTTAGGTTCAGGATGTACCTATACAGAGCTGCACTACAGCTACAGATTAGGGGTCACAACGGCAAGTCTTCTAATTCCAAGAGTTTGCGTTGCCCTATGGCGTACATTACAGGAAGAGTGCTTTCCTGTACCTACTGAACAACGTTGGCGCCAAATTGCCCAAGAATTTGCAGAACGTACCAATTTTCCTAACTGCATTGGCTCTATTGATGGTAAACATTGCAGGATAATCGCGCCTGCACATAGCGGATCACTGAATTATAATTACAAGAACTTTTTTTCCATTGTTCTATTAGCTATTGCCGACAGCAACTGTTGTTTTATATACATCGATGTCGGGTTCTATGGTAAGGAATCGGACTCCATGGTGTTTAGACAATGCTCCTTGTTTAGAAAATTGGAAGAAGATACCTTACATATCCCAAAACCTGAGAAAGTAGCAGAAACAACACTGCCATATGTACTCGTTGGGGATGAGGCGTTTGGACTAACAAATAACTTAATGCGACCTTATCCTGCAAAGAACTTAACAGAAAAAAGAAGAAATTTTAATTATCGCTTGTCTAGAGCAAGAGGGAAAGTAGAATGCTCCTTTGGAATTTTAACTAACAAATGGCGTATACTGCATCGACCGATGAATGTGATGGAGGAAGTCGCTGTATCCATGATCAAAGCTTGCTGTATATTACACAATTTTGTTCGTGTGAGGGATGGCATCAGATTTGAGGATACTTTGACAATAACAGGGCTGCATGATAATGATAGAGCAGAACCAGAAGGACGTGGACGTAAGTCTGCTTACAAATACAGAGATGCTTTCGCTGACTATTTTAGCAGTCCAGCAGGGGCTGTGCCATGGCAAAACACCAACATATGATTTAAACAAAATAGTAAGTGTATGTATTAAAGTAATTAACATGAAATGCTTACCAATTTCCTGCCTTTCTTTTTCATCTTTTTCCCCAAATTTTTGGATAACAATTTCGCACACTTCCTTCCAATCGTCTCTTTTAAGCTGTCTGTTTTTGTAGTCTCCTGACGATGAATCCCACAAAGATGGTCGTTTTTCTATTGCGTCGATGAATAGTTCGACATCCAGATGTTCCATTGTAGCACACGTCTTCAGTCTTTAGACAACACCCACCAACTGAGAATGAGTTCCTATCATAGCATCAGCGACAATAAACGCGTTGAATAAAAGCGTAAATTCCATTCAACGTACTTACAAAACGCCTGTCGCCACGCGTTCTCAAATTCCAGGCGACCAAATTTGAGAACGCCGCGACACGGGCATCGAGCGGCTCACCGTCGTTGATGCATAAATGGCTACATACAAGACAATGCGTTGAGAAAACGACGCGTTTTTTGTCGCCACGCGACAGGCGACAAAAAACGCGTGCATAAAAGCGGGCTAAGAGTATTTCAGTTCGCGTGAAACTCTCACTGTGACCGCTTGATGCCGTCAATTCTGGCGATTTAGTAGATATAACTACTGTCTAGTCGCCATTAGTCTCCAAGTTTTTCCATCAAAGAAGTTACCTATTGATCAATATATCATGGTGTAACATGAGAATTAGTTAATTTGTTATAACAGAGATCAACATTTTGTCTAAGAACTATCAATGGACTCCATAGAGGCGTCGCACGATTTTTGAGCTGCTGATTGCTATGACGTCAGGTTCAAGATCATTTCAACGTCAGAATCGGATAAATTGCTTTTCGGAAAAATTTGTAGTTCACTAAATATAAATCTGACGGCGTTTGTGTTGCTAAGCAAGGCCATCCAACGGCTACGAGTGTGTCAAGCTCAAATTAAGGTTATTCTAAGTAAGTAAGTTTGTGAAAGTGCTTGAATATATTTGAAAGCCTACGCTTACAAATTTTTGTTGGGTCTCCGAATTCAAATCTTTCTTTGGCTTCATCTGGCGACGTTATCGAGGGGTAATTTTGAGGTCACAGTAAGGTTGTTCCATAAGAGTGTCAATCTTCATCAGTGCGTTTTCAGTATTTATTTCAATGTCAAATTGAGGTTATTCCTAGGTCAATATGTGTGAGAATGTTTGAATCTCCACGTGTCGAATTTCTGGGTAACTGAATTCAAATAACGCATATCTGCTTACTGGAAAGCTGAACGTGAGGATACCTAAGGCAAAATTTGTGCTGCTTAAAGGTTAAGGTGGAAAAAACAAATGAAAAATTTGGATTCAGCTTCCCAAAAGAATACAATATACACCATTTTAAAAATATTAAGACCCTTTTTCCTAAATTTGACTTTGAAATGACCTGGAATATGATATGACGGAAATCATCTGACCATAACATTACATTTAGCGACCTAAAACCCCTACGATGTTCCTCATGATGACTCTTAAAGCTACTACACACAAGCCGCCGGCAATGCCGCCGGGTTTATGCCGAGCGGCTATGCCGTCGGCAATACAAGCCGCCGGCACAAGCCGCCAAGCATCATTCCGGTTGTGACAGTCACATAGAACGCTAGTGAAGTGCATATTGTATGGTTGGTTGGTTAAAATGAATAAGGAAGTCATCAGCACAGCCGCCGCAGTTGTAATTTTTATTTTAATAAGAAAAAAATACAAAAGGACGAGAAGGTTTGGGTTGCACCCAAGTTTACAAAATAGAAAATGGCGAAACGGTACTGTAATGATAGAAGAGTATAAAAAAGTTGATGTGGGGTGTCAGCGTTTGCGCAATAGCATGTTTTTTGGGTTTCTGTACATCGTCTATGCCTGCACCAGATTTGTGCAACTGTTCGAACTTCTTTTTTTCCCGAAAATAATGAGAGGTTACATTTTTTAACTTTCTCTCTACTTCGCCTTTATCAATGTCAAATACACTTGCAATTATGTTCAGTGCGTCGATTGTTCCTATTCTTATAGTCTGCATTTCTGGGATTCCATAATATATCATTTTCATGAAATTTTTCAATTAAGAGCAGCACAGCTTCGTCGTCCCAATTAAACGACATTTTGAACACACAAACCGCACAACACTACCGCTCGAATGCCAGGAACGAAGTGACGCCGGTAAGCCACGTAACCCGCCGGCATTCCCCGGCGGCACTGCCGGCGGCTCCTTTGCGCGGTAAGGCCGGCGACTTTGTATGCCGCCGGGTGTGCGGAGGCTTAGCCGGCGGCTTGCCCGGCGGCACTGTGTGTAGAAGCCTTTAGATCAAATGTTGAAAATCCCCTACTCTCTTTTGCAGCCATCAGTACTGTACGGTATATGTCTTGTTTTGGTAGCGGAAGGCAAGCATTGTGTATGTCTTCTACTAAAATACCTCAACAAGAAGTGTTAGAGAAGATAACTACTATCATGTTGTGCGGAAAAAACAGGAGAACGTTTTCACGGACGACCCGTCAGTCAGATGAGGCAGTACCGCCGTGGTTTCACTGCGAGGCAATGGGCAAGAAGTGGCGATCGGGTTATATTTTTTGCGGTGTCAGGTATTGGCTGGGTAATGCAGAAATAAATAATAGTTTAAAAAAACTAAAAACCACGCTTTTATAGCTAGTCGAACTAAAAAGTATCAAACAATTTTTAATTAGAAAGAGTTAATATTACAGTGGTAGATGGTCGAACAATCAGTCATAGTTAATGCCCACAAAATAAAATTATAATAAAATTTAAGTTACCTATTAACAGAATAATTCAATTCAGAATAGACAGCGTGAGGTGCTTGATATATTAAATGTTACAATCATTCTATGTGTCTATGAGAGGAGAGTTATGAAAATGTAGTAAAATGCACCCCATGCGTTTTACTCTGAGTTAAATTATTATGTTAGTAACTTTTATATTTTATTGTAATTTTATTTTGAGGTCATTAATTATGATTGATTGTTCGACCATATACTACTGTAGTATAGACTCATTGTAATTAAAAGTTATTTCTACTTTTTAGCTGGGTTAGCTATAAGAGCGTGTTATTTTTAGTTTTTTTTTTAACCATTATTTATTTTTCATTTTTTAGTTCGATTTATCAACTTGTTTTTTTATGGTTAGGTGGTATTGAAATGTCTTATGAATCATTTCGTAATCTAACCTTTTCATTTTAAGCTTCACTGTTGAATGGGGTTTTTCCTGTTAACTTAGAGCAATCAAATTGTTCCATTCGAATACTGTCTAAAGATCTTACACGACTAAGCGCTACATAAACTTGTCCGGCAGCAAACACTAGCAATTTTAGGTAAATGACTGCATGACCGTCTATTCAACCTTGCATTTTGTGGACGGTCGAAGCCCAACTCAGGATTAATGGCAACATTCGCAATGAACAAGGTTTGAATGCACTACCTTGAAAAAGTATATGCTTCCGTTGTGCTATATATAAGAGGATTTATCAGTCCTGGCGGTTCTAATAAGGATAATGGAAAACTGTTATCAAACTAATGCATCGTCATCGGTCTTTGATACGTGTGCGAAGCTTAAAATTAATCAAACTTCTGGACATTGGTGAAAATTTTGCTCAAAAAGATTTCGTTACGTACATAAATACATATATGTTATATGGCCATAGTAACTACGCAGTTATTATACAATGTTGCACCAGACGCTGTGTCAGCATATGATAACAACTTCTCGCTAATGCGTTGCTAGAATAGGGCCTTTGCTGTTTTCTACTAATTCTTAGTCAGCTTTCCGAATGTATAAATAGGCCTCGCGGCCATATCCTGTTGTTCAATACCCGGTTAGACTCCGTAAATGTCACATTTGTAAACCTTTGTATTTTATATGGACTGAAGCTTCAGTCCTCAAATAAATTTTATTAAAGAGTTATTTCTAAATCTAATGATTTAAGAAATTGGTGTCAGAAGTGGGATAGCTTCAACGCATTAGAACACGTGCATACTAACTGGTGCGGTGGATGCCCATCCTTTAAGCTGAAAAGGACCAACGAGCCTTAAGAAGAAAGAAACCCATTGAAGAAAGAAACCTACAAGTAGGAAAACTACAAGTAAGAAACTACAAAGCAACAAGAAGAAGGAAAACAACAGGGGACACAGCGAGCAGCAGCCACCCAACTGCAGACAGACTACTGGAAACATCGCAAGAGATCCACTAGGCGCCTGGAGAACAGGACTGCCTCCCGATGTACCCTTGGTGCAGTCTGCTGTTTCTTGCGGCTGCTACAGCCCAGATAGACATCAAACCGATTAACAACACCTTAGGTATCTATTTTCATGAAGACGCCCCTCTTAAGGTTTCCAACGAAATTTGGACACTCCTTGTATATAAAGACTTAGAACTCATTAAGAAAGCACTTGACGATAACAACTATATTCTGGAACACTTATCATATCTCGTAGAAAAACCCACCAATCGTATGAAAATATTTAGTGGCGAAATTAAGACTCATACAAGTCTCCTTTATCAAATTTCTCGTTCCTTGGAATCGAAATATTACGCGGTCTTCGATGACCCTGTAAGCGCATCGCGGATGAAACGCGGTCTGATTAACGCTATAGGTACCATATGGAAAGCAATAACCGGCAACCTCGATTCATCGGACGGTGAATACTATAACGATTGTATTAACAAAATTTCTAAAGATGAACATGAGCTCGAAAACCTCATGAAGAACCAAATTTCTGTTACCATGTCGGTTATCAAGAATTTTAATAACACTATTCAAAAACCTATGATTGATAAAACTATGTATAATGAAGATATCAAGGTTATTGAAAACAAAATTCATGAAATTTCAGACAATCTTGCATTTTATGAAGCTAAATTCCAATTTTTAGAAGTTTGCGAACAATTAATGGAAAGCTACATGTTTCTAGAAGAGACAATTAATGATATTCTAAATTCAATTACTTTCGCACGTTTAAAAATAATACACCCTTCTATTATCACTCCTCAAGACTTAGTAAATTCTCTTCAAGAAATCTCTCACACTTTGTCGAGAAATAATTTACCCCTTCCGGTTAATTTGGCAACAGTGTGTGTACCTTAATCTTATGGAACTCGAAGCGTATCAAACTAAAACAAGAGTAGTATTCGTCCTACGCATCCCGTTATTAGAGCCCATAATGTATACTTTATACAGAGTGATTCCTCTACCCATTCTCGATAAACGTACTGGTTTGTTTCATGTAGTTTCCACTATACAGAGATACATTGCTAAAGATAGCGATTCTCTTTTGTACGTTTTCTTTCAAAATTTAGGTAGTTGTAAAGTTCTTTAGTCTCAGGTGAAAATCTGTTTCAACCTCTTGCCGTATCCAATAGACAGTAATGCAGTCTGCGAAGCACAGTTGTTGCGAAATCCGGTCGATCTGCCGACAGCCTCCCAAATAGCAATTGTGGCATTACAAGATTACAAAATCCAAGAACTTGCAACCAATTTTTGGCTAATCACCATATCTAGCCCTCTGCCAATTACGATGAAGTGTGGACAACGGGAGACTACCACCAAAGTGATAAAA